GCTGATCGCACTAGAGGACGATCCCGCCGTGCCCCGCTGTGGCAGCTTGGACCGAAGGGTCCTGTGCTGCTGCGTTGAATGGTGGTGCGGCCCGATCGGGCCGAGGGACTTGGTCGTGCGGCCCCAAGTCAGGGTCCCCAAAGAGGTGTGGTGGGGAGTTGCGGGTTCGGACGCTTGCGTCGGTTCCTGCGGGTGTTCGTGCCTCAGGACGCGTTCCAGCAGCTGCGCCTTGCCGAGATCGTTCTGGGGGTGCCCGGATCGTCCCGAACAGCCGCCGGAGGCCCGAATCATGGTCCGGAAACTAAACTTTCGGCGGAGGGCCAGTGCGGTGAGCCAGTGGGGACTCGGGGTCACCGCACGGTTTTGAGGCTCAGTTCGTTCTCCGAGGACGTCTCGGGCGGCCTCTTGGGCCGTCTTGGGGCCATCTTGGGCCGTTTTGTCGGTTCAGTCTGGGTGGTCCGCGAGCGACCGTCGGCAGAATAGGGCCCCACGGGAGGGACTTTAAGGAGGTGTTGACCGGGCACGGCCGGGGCCTCCAGGGTCCCAGAACCGTGCGGTGACGGACCGCGCGGTCAGGGCGCTGGGGACTCCGAGGTCACCAGGCGGGCCCCCGAGAGGGGGAGGGCGCCGCCGACCCTCGGCGCCCGAGGGCCGACGAGGACGCCCGAAAAAGCCGGAACCGCCCACCTCCCCAGCTCTCCCTACACTTCTAAGATGACACCACTCGCGTTCTGCAAACTAGCAGCCACGCCATGTGGGCCCCTGTTTTGCAGTAGCTTTCCTCCCAAATGATAATCAGGGAACAGATTAGAATGCACGAATGCAACCCTCGAGGGTGGACGTCGCAGCAAATCCCGGCGGCGGCGCTTCCAGCTTCTGGCCTGCATGAGGTCCTCGCTGGGCCCCAGGGGCCGTCAATAAACGGCTCGAGGGTGCGGAGCCTCGAGAACTCTGGGGGGGCCTTGGTGTGGGTGCTCCGAGACCCTCTCCCACCGAGGCAGGCCGCGAGCCGCTCGGGGGACGAGGGCGCTGGCCACGCGGCATCCTGAGCGCTGCTGCACAGCCCCTCGGCCAGAGCGTCAGCTCATGGAGTTAACCATGATGAGAATCAACCTGTTCGGCCATAGCTCTAAACAGCAGGCGCAAGGCCTGCTCCTTCTCACTTCCCCCCCGGGCTCGCCGCCGGTCCTCAGAAGGCAGGGGGAATGGGGGGCTGGCCGCGCGCTGCGGGCCGCGCGCAGCGCCTCCAGCGCGGAGGGCGTCGGCGGCGGCCTAGCAGCGCGGGGGTGCCGGCGGCGAGCCTTTAGGAGGACGCCAAATACGTGCCGTCGCTCGAACGTCCATGCCCAGTGCATGTTTCGGTTTTGGTGCGTGTTGTTTGTTCGGCTCGATGATCCAGGATGCTCCTCGACGATCCTCGCCGAGACAAAATGGACACGTCTGAGCGATGCCAGGAATAGAGGCCTCCCAGATGGGCTCGGAGCAGACGGGGTCGGAGGATCGCACCGCATCGTCGATTCATCACCGATGCATCGGCGACGTCGGCGCGGAGAAAATCGCGCTCCACATCGGGCCGCATCGCCCATGCATCGGCGATGCGGCGCGATCCTCTGATCTCGCTTACTCAGACCCCATCTGAGAGACCTATAGCCAACTGCCGAGAGATTCAGCGTATTGGTACAAAAAACAAACAAACAAAAAACGGCGTGGGTTTTTGGCCGGCTTCGGCCTCCAAAGGCCCTCCCTGGGCCCCAGGACCGCCAGAAAAGGACTCGCGATAACAAAAGCGGGTCCCCAGGAGTGCGTCGAGACTTCTGGGGACCCCATGAAATCATGACATCTGCCTCCTCCTCCTCCTCCTCCTCCTCCTCCTCCTCCTCCTCCTCCTCCTCCTCCTCCCCCTCCTCCTCCTCCTCCCTCCCTCCCTCCCT